TCCCCCAGGCTGGCGTGCAATGATGCGATATTGGTTCACTGCAACCTCCACCTCCCAGATTCAAGTAATTCTCCTGCCTCTGCCTCCCAAGTAGCTGGGATTACAGATGTCCGCCAATACGTCCAGCTACTTTTTTGTATTTTTAGTAGAGATGGCATTTTGCCATGGTGGCCAGGCTGTTCTCAAACTCCTGACCTCAGGTGATCCACCAGCCTCGACCTCCCAAAGTGCTGGGATTACAGGTGTCAGCCACTACGCCCGGCTGATCAATCTTAAATCTACCCATATTAACAAAGTACTCTGACACTGAAAAACAAGCTGTTTCAGGCTACTGAAATGCTGGAAATATTTCCATCCATATCATGTAAAAATATTATTTTCTATCAAAATCACCATACATAATTTTATAAGAATATAGTTGATTTAAACCTCAAAAGGTCCCTTCCACTCAATGTTTAGGGAAAAAAAAAAAAATCAAACAAAGCCACTGAGGAAAGAATCATCAATATCAAACCTACCGGATCAACAGAAGGCAAAACATCTTTCTTCTCCAGGCCATCAACTTCATCTTCATCTGTGCTGTATTCTTCCATCGTTTCGCCACTAACAAAGTGGATGACTCTCCTTGGGACTTTCTTCTTTTTTCCTATGACTCCCAGTTCTACATTTTCAAAGCCTCTTTCGTTACTCATCTATATCGACAATATTTTAAGAAAATGAGAGTTTCAAGTGAGATTAATTTTCTTTCATTACATGTGAAAAACTTTTGGTAAGTTTATTGTAGTAAAGAAACAAACAAATCTTTACGCAGTTTTGGTTTGTTTTGAGACAGGGTCTCACTCTGTTGCCCAGGCTGGAGTACAGTGGCGAGACTATGGCAGACCAAATAAAACCCATTTGTAAACCAAATCTGGAAAGCAGATTATCAGTGTTCTATCTCTGAACTTCCAGATGTCTTGGCCAGTAATACATATGTAACAAAAGAGATTTCTGATAGTAAAAAGATTTCACAAGTTCTTAAAACTATAGTAGTCTGTGGAATTTTTTTTTCTCCCAGACAGGGTCTGGCAGTTGCCTAGGCTAGAGTGCAGTGGTGCAATCATGGCTCACTGCAATCTCAAATTCCTGGCCTCAGGTGATCCTTCCACATTCACCTCCTGAGTACCTGGGACTATAGGAGTGTACCACCACACTTGGCTACTTTTTTTTTCTATAGAGACAGTGTCTGGCTATGTTGCCCAGGTTGGTCTCCAACTACTGGCCTTAAGCAATCCTCCCACCTCAGCCTCCCGAAGTTTTAGGATTACAGGCATGAGTAACTGTGCCTGAGCTGGAATTCTAATACAAATTTTACTCCTATATATTTATACTATATATATGTGTGTGTGTGTGTATATATGTGTGTATATGTGTGTGTGTGTGTGTGTGTGTATATATATAGTAGGAAATAGTGAAGACCTTCTTTTCATTGTCCTCTTGCCTCAACTTTAAACTCCCAAGAAAACTGCCTGAAGTTTAAACTTCCAGATTTCAAAAAGGTACACTACACGCAATTGTGAAGAAAACTCTGGCAACAGTGGTTACCCCATGGATAGAAACTAAGATGGGGGAGAAGGAGCAGGCAAGGGAGTAGTCAAAGGAGGGCTTTTATTCTTTTTGCATATACAGGACTACAGTACTGTCATGATTAGAGTCTATGTTCGTAGAATTCTCTAGGATAGTCCAGAGTACAAACATTTTGTTCTCTATAAAGATTCTTACGGTTATAAGCAAACATAATTTAAACCCATGACTACTGTTCAACCACTGGAAAAGCTCTTTGAATAGCTGTTGCAAAGAAAGGATTATACTGATAAAAATAGTGAACTCGTACTGCCCAGTTATGCAAGTATAAGCTACTTTATTTTTACACATTGTTTTCTCTTAAGAAAGGACTTAAGAGAAATTTTTATACATTGTTTTCTCTTTAGAAAGAAAAAACAATTTTTATACATTGTTTTCTCTTAAGAAAGTCCTTTCTAGGAAGGACTTCTAAGGTCCTTCTTAGAAAACAGGTATGATTCTTCTCTGCCTTTTATCTCCCAAAGCTAAGTTTAGTAGCCAGGATCTGAACTGCAGATCATGAAAATTTGGTAACAGGCCAGGCGTGGTAGCTCACACCTGTAATCCCAGCACTTTGGGAGGCTGAGGCAGGAGGATCACACGAGGTCAGGAGTTCCAGACCAGGCTGGCCAACATGGCAAAACCCCACCTTTACTAAAAATACAAAAATCAGCTAGGCATGGTGGTACACATCTGTAATTCCAGCTACTTGGGAGGCTGAGGCATGAGAATCACTTGAACCCAGGAGGTGGAGGCTACAGTGAGCCGAGATCGCACCACTGCACTCCAGCCTGGGCAACAAAGTCAGACTGTCTCAAAAAAAATAAAAATAAGGCTGGATGCTGTGACTCAGGCCTATAATGGCAGCAATTTGGAGGGCTAAGGCAGGTGGATAACCTATGTCAGGAGTTGGAGACCAGCCCGGCCAACATGGTGAAACCCTGTCTCCACTAAAAAAGCAAAAATTAGCTGGGCATGGTGGCACGCACCTGTAGTCCCAGCTACTCAGGAAGCTGAGGAAGGAGAATCACTTGAACCCAGGAGGTGGAGGTCATAGTGAGCTGAGATTGTGCCACTGCACTCCAGTCTGGGTGACAGAGCAAGTCTCCATCT